GAGCAGGTTAATGCCGGTTGACACATGCGGTTCACTGATCTCCTAGAGGAGTCGAGACTCGCAGAAAAACCTTCACGCACAGGTATCCATGGCAACCACAAAAATTATATTTCTTCTTTCCCCGGAAAGCCGGAGATTCCAAGACGCTGAAATGCACAAATACATTGTCATTACCCAGCAGCCTCATACTTAATAGGGTTAGGCTTTTACTGCCTGCTGTTCTCATTGTTCGGTGTGTTGCCTATGTTATTTAGAATTCCTCTTGTTACCTTTACCTCCATATTATGCTTACATGCAGGGTTGAGGCTTCTCTCTATGCCCACGCGGGGATGCTTTATTGAAATGTATTTCCATCCATGGCCATTATTGTGCTTCTGTTTTACATCCTAACATACTTGTATCCGTGACTTGGCTGTAAGATTTGAAATATTAGGTTTTCTCGATGAATTTGAATCGGATTGTTAGGAAATTATCAGATATTCATGTCACTTTAGCTTGTGCTCTTATTTTGTTCCTTGTGAAGATTTAGGGCCTTGTGGTGTCATTGATTGACAGATGATGGGGAATAAAGCTACTCTTCCTCTGCTCTCGCTGACAACTTCTGGTTGATTGCACGATGATCAGAGGCATTCCCCCTCAATAACAATATATATTTATGTAAATTGGTTTAAAGCCTGAGCCTTTACAATGTAAAACTGGACATACGTGCACCAAATTGTAGCTACGAAAAGAAATTGAAGAATATTGCAAACTGCATGTGGCTTCCCATCTAATCCTTGCATAATAAAACACTGTTATGTATGCATCTAATACTGAAAAATATTTTTAAATGCATTTCTCAGATTGTAGACCGCACATCAAACATCTTTCTGTTCCATCCTCATATTACTGCATAAGACTAGATGTACTAAAAGGTGTACCGGTACACACGCATGCCTCCTTTTTTCATCTCTTTGAGGAGAAATAGGACTAAGCTCATTGTGTCCTGCACCACATTCCTGAACAAGCAGGGGTTCAATCACATTTGCAGAAGTTATCAAAACTTTCAAAGAGCTCAGCTGGCGCCTTAAGCCACAGGAAATTCACTGGGACATCTGGAGGGATGTGTGCAGATTATTGCTCATTTAGTCTGTTCTAGACATCAGTAGAGAGAGGACTGAGATGGCTAAACACACATACAGACGAGAGGATGCACACACATACACACACACACACACACACACACACACACACACACACACACACACACACACACACACACACACACAAACAAACAGGCTAGGCTTTGGCAGATCTAACCCCAGGCACACCACAACACACCTGTGTATAATCCCCCATGATGCCCTCTGGTCGTTTGTCCAATCCCCTCGCTTTGCTCCTGTCCTAAGCTCCTCCAATCAGAGGACAGGTCGGGTAAAGTTTGCTTCCATCTCTTTAGCCCTGTGTTAGTGTAAGAGGATGTGAAATGTAAACTCTCCGCTGGTTTGTGTTTGGTTTTATTTGTATTTGATGTGAGATATTTGTTTTAAATAACCTCACTTGTTCGGTTGTTTTAGAACAGCGTGGGCCAGTTGTATGATAACAATACATTTTGTACGATAATATTGCCCTCTGTATGATGCAGAAAAGTGCCATAATGGACAATAATTGTACAATGTTCTGGTGCATATTTTACCATATGACCTCTTTCCAGCCACGATTCGTAAAGGCTATGATGTTGATGAACGTGACGTTTCAAACACTGTATTGTTTAGCGCTTTGAGCACCAGGAAAAGCGCTATATAAATGTAATGTATTATTGATACCAATATCATTTATTTCTAATTACAGTGGTTGATTAAGTCTTCCACCAGATATGTTTTTATAATTTAGGATACATAAGAAAAGATAGATGCAGTAAAGCAGGATATATAATACTAAGTTTATATGAGTCTCCCCTCCACATCTCTGTCTGTTTGCATGCTTACAGGATACCTTTGTTTCTGATGTGGAGGAGGATACAGCCTACATCTCAACTTTTTTAGCAACATAACCTTTATTGACGTGTATCATGAGATGCAGGACTTATTCCTTGATCTTTGTATTTGTTCTTTCTAACTGCACATATTGAGGTGAACATATAGAACCTATATAGATCCCAAATGATCCTGAGTCTTGAGAACAAAGAACAAAAGGCCAACTTCTGTATATTCCCAAACCAGCGCTGCTCCATCTTCTCTGAAGGTGTGAAATGCAACCAGACAAAACCTCAACACCACGATAAAAGCTCAGGAAATTACTTCCTTATTTTAGGAGTGATTGATTGTCCCCCTGACCTGTTAGACTGAAGAGGTGGTTAAGAAGAGGAGGCAGACTTAGATAATTGGGCCCGGTGGTATCCAAAGCCCGGCAGGTGTTGAAAGAGCTCTCATAACAGGTACCTGGAGCGGCTGCAGCCCTGAACTCGAGCACACCTAGGATTTCACTACCTTGGAGGAATTTTGGCGTTTTATGTTTGGCATGTCTTTTATTGAATAGATGAAATATGAGAAATGCTTGCAGAACCTATTGACATAATGGACATGCCACAAGAAAAACACATACAGGTGTCAAAAATCCTCTGAGGTGTCAACAAATAAATGTTTTGTTTCATCTTTTCTTGGCATGAAAATAATGTCATTTGCTCTTTGAAAGGGATGTCAGTTGTTAGAAAAATCTCCCCATTACAAGAGGGGTGTAATTCCCTTACCTGTTGAAAAGTAGGTGAAAGCTTTCACCAGCAGAAGGATCAGAAATATAATTTTGTTGAAGCATAGGTGTTTTTACTCTTTCATTTCATTAGTGATGCATAGGGCTTTCATAGTTCTTCAAATCATTTCAAATGAAGAGGTAAAAGCTAGGCATAAGCTTAAATGATAACATTCTTTCTCAGAGAAACATATGCATGTACGAATCAAAGCTATTGTACTATCCTTATTATTATTATCTGCGGGCCAGGGGCTCTGTTCCAATTAAAGAATACCACAGATGGACCATTCGGCAAGCATGCACACAAACTAACCTACAATAGGTATAGTAAAGTACCCGGTATTACCGAGCCAAGAGAAGAGCTTTTTACTTTAAAACTATTTAATCAGGAAAATCAATGCCTTACATCAAAGGAATGGAGATGAGGGACAGACGGATAAAGAGGCTCATCAAAGAAGGAGATCTAGTTAAGGATTCAACGCCCTAATTCCCTTTCTCTTAAAACTTTCGTCAGAGGGGGCACAGGGCCAATTTGCTCCCTAAATGGCTGCGTGTGAATGGGCAGATTGCTTTGCATAGCCGCTGGGAATCTGGGCTTCTTCCTCTTTTTCTTCTGCACACGGAGCCTGTGAATTAGAAAAGATCCAAAGACAGATAGGCTTAACGGAGCCCTAGCTACCTTCCTTAAATCCAGAGCCCTGTTCCAAGTTCCAACTAATTCAATCCATGGCCCTACTCAATTAATAGACTTTAATGCACTGTTTCTTCTTTATCTTTTCCCTTTCCTGGGGATTGGGGACTTCAGTTGGACTAATATCTGCAAAAAGGTTTGGATTGTAAATCTGCCTGAATGTTAGGACAATGACATGTCCCAGCGGCATTACGCCGATCATATATGCATCCTTAATCTCAAACATCTCCTTAATCTCGCTTTCTGGGACTCGCCGTACATTAATGTAATGCAGGGCATAACATATTGACAAATAGTCTTCCCCGTCTCTGGCTCTGTATGCATTGCTGTAAGATTCATTAGTCAGAATGTCCTTGATGTGACAGGACCTCCGAGTATCCATACGATGTGCTTTACATAATGTCAAACCAATCATCATCTAGGATTGAAACCCCCCCTTAAAGTGTACATTTTCTTTTAATCAAACAAGGGGCTTTTTCACTACTTCTATGCGCTCTAAACCGTACGATTCATTAATTTTCACCAAGGACATATAATATAGCATATTTGCTCTAAAAACCTGCGGAAGTTCTGGGAGAAATAAAGATTACATCGGTCAGTTTCATAAATATTTCAACATCATCTCTGGCAGTACACCTTCCCAATATTCTTCAAGGCATTCATGCACCTCATGAGGACCAATATTTAATGCTATCCTCTCCACTCAACAGAAACATTAACCTCATCTGAGTGCAAATGTGTGTACGTCTGTCTGAGCCGGCAGATCTGAGACCAGCTCTGCGCAATAGGCTTTGTATCACGCCTGCAGTTCCGATTGATCGTCTCGGCAATCAGCAATTAAGCCCTAGTGATCAGAGCGGGAGAGGGGAGGAAGGGGGAGGGAAGAGGAGGTGGGAGGTAGCCCCCTACCCCACCCGGCTCCTCTCTTGTCAGCCCAGGAAAGGCTTCACTCAACTGGGGTGCGTTTGGCCCGGGGCTGGGCTCACTGGTGGAGGTTAACTCCAGCATAAATAAGCATCTTTGGACTCATTACAGGGATTAGAGAGTAATTCGCCTGCGAGGAAGGAGACGGCTGCCAGGGTTTTGGTACAGTTTACTACAGTCTTATAGGGGCGAGGGCCCTGGAGATTACAGAGGGAGAGAGATGGAAAGGCAGCAAAAGAGAGAAAGGCCAAGGGAAAAGAGAGGCTGGCTGTCAAGTGTGTGTGTGTGTGTGTGTGTGTGTGTGTGTGTGTGTGTGTGTGTGTGTGTGTGTGTGTGTGTGTGTGTGTGTGTGTGTGTGTGTGTGTGTGTGTGTGTGTGTGTGTGTGTGTGTGTGTGTGTGTGTGAGAGAGAGTGTGTGAGAGAGAGAGTCAATCCAAGCCCCCGGCTGCCCCCTTGATCTTGAGCATGTTGGGGTGCTGTGAAAACGGATAATGGGAGTTAGAACGACCGGGCCTGTCTAGAGAGAAGTGTGCTGATTGTTATAACTTTCCCTCATCTCTCTCCCCTCCACTTAACTAAACAAACACCCAAGAGGTAGCACTCTATCAATTTTAATGATGTTGAAATACAATTTAGGCACAAAATACACAACAAATGCTAATTTGGCCATGATGAGAGGCATCAGAAATTCCTCCCATTATTTATTCAGCTGACTTTCTGCATTTTTCATCAGAACAAATATTCCCATTTCAACAAATACACACACACACACACACGTGCTAACACACAGCCAATTTGGAGCATAAATCAACACATTCCCTCATCAAATATATGCTCTGTGTGGTTCTCTGCAGTCTGTCCAGTGCACCAAAGACAAATAGTTCTGTCCCAAGTCCAGCTGGAGAAACGTTAGGGCCAGAGGATTGTCAATATATGCATACATACATTAAACATAGCAGGTCTATGTGTGTTCAGGAAAGACACTGACATCATAAAGACTGAATTCCAGTCATAAACTCATTCATGTACACCTCGTGATTTTCCCAAGCACCTCTTTTTTCATGTTTTAATATACTTTACTAGACATTCTCATATTATAATTGTTCAATGCATTTTCATCAAAATGTGGCACTTTAAGATATCAACATTATTATACAGTTAGTCATAAGTAATTTTCTTTCAATCAGCATTTTAATTATTATAAATCCAAATAATTACAAATACATTCAAATGGCAACCATCTCCACCTCCATCTTCAACGGCTCAGGCTGCCCTGCTTCTGCACCACATTTGGGGCAGGTGAGGTCGGGGTCTGCAATACTGTGTGTTTTGATGCAGTAGTAGCAGAAGACATGTCGGCAGCCCACCGTATGGGGCATGGTTGGCCACTCTCCACACAGTCCGCACTCTTTCCACACCCCTTGCTCTTCCGTGCTTCCCTTCCTTTCTGTGCTGTCTCCCCCTGAAACCATCGAGAACACCTTTGCTTTCAGTTTCCTCGTATTGATCAGAGGTAACAGGAAGATAAGGAACTCTGCGAAGCCGTGCCACAGCAGCTCGCGGTTCATGTACTGGTACGTTACGTCCCGGACCACGTTGGGCTTGCTGAAGGCCGCCTGAGCTCCCACAATCCTTTCAGCCAGGACAGGATGGCGACCTTTCCTTAGGAACACGAGGAAGTTGATGAGACTTGCGATCTGTGTGATGCTAGAAACAAGGGTCAGGCTGTTGCGGAGAGCCTTTTGGAGTAAGCCACTGTCTACTGCAGACGCTGCTGAACTCAGACTCTGAAGCAGGCTGTAGGAGCGTTCCTGCAGCCAGCGTGGACCCGCAGTGAGCAGCGCCAGGCCCAGCTTCTGCCTGCGAGACAGAGGTCTGTAACGGGGAGACGTAGAGAGGGTGTTGTGGTACCGCAGGCTCAGTAGAGACTGGCCCACAGTGGCACTGTTAGAATAAAGTGTGAACCTCCACAGGAGCAATTGGAGCAGAGCCCTCAGTTCTGGCTCCAGTGGGGTGAGCAGGCCCGGCCGGCAGTAGTGGAAGCACTGGGAGAACTGGGTCCATACCAGCTGCTCTAAGGCTGTGTCTAGTTCAAGGGCATCCAGCTGGCTGATGCGCAGCACTGGGGTCTGCGGGTCGACATCACTTCCTGGACTAGAGCTTTTAGCTGTCCTTTTTTGGTCGTCCTCGCTTTCCAAACCTGCGGGAAAAAAGATAAATGTTAATTATGTTTTTCAGGAAACAGATGTAACAAAGGAGTACAAAAGCTATCCCCAATGACAACAAAACTTATAACACATATATAAAAAACTACAACCTTGAAATTCCCCTAAAACTGCAAATAAGTTCAAGTACATAAATGTCTCATGACTTAACATATTTAAATACTTTAATACTGTATTACTGGATCTATTAAAGTCAGGGTCATGAGCAAAATATACACAGAGGCAAAACTATTAAAAGGACAACTGGGTTGTTGGAGGAATGAGGCCCCGGAGGTGAGGCCCATCCTGTTAGGAGGGTTATTTTTTCTTTATACATAGGAACGGAAATCACTTTTCACATGTAAAACCCGTCCTTAATGCAACCTTTGAGCTGTGCAATGCAGAGGAGCAGGGGGTCTTAGACGGCTCTCTCCAGTGTATACACACACAATCCCAAGCACGCACACACACATAGAAACACACACGCAGGAGGCGAAGCCCAGGGGCTCTTGGTGCCTGCTCCCTCTGGAGATAGGGGTGTGTGTACAAATCACATCACTAGGGATTAGGCTAACGGCACAGTCTCTGGTACACCGTAAACATCTGCCAAATGTGGAACAATTTTCCTCCCCCTAGAGTCGACTCCATATGGGATCCCACCATTGTGACGTCTGGGCTATTTTGCGCTGCATACGTTTAGAAAAGTGCTCACAGTTCCCCCAGTTTTATCTGCCCTTTCCTCAAATGAAACGCTTAAGAAGTGGGAGACTAACTAACGCAGGGAGAGACAGAGCAAAAGGCCCAGAGAGAGAGAGAGAGAGGGAGACCGAGAGGCCTTTTCTGACAGTGGCTTTTGTGTCTCACTGAACAGGATTTGTCACGAGGCTTTAAAAGAGATTTCAGCCGGGTAAATATGGCAGTTTTGACAGAAAGAGAGGGAGATGATGGTCACTTTAGACGTTTCTTGAGGAGGTAAAAAAAAACATTCTTATATACGGTGGCAATGCTCGGGTTTATTGTGGCGCGCAGGACCATCTGTGTATTCATGATGTTTCAATAGAGCCAGGATACACCGTCCAACTAAATTAGAATTAGCAAATGAATGAAAAAATAGTGAATTCACGCTGAAGTAAGCAGGTGTGACAAATTCATTGAGCTGCATTTGAAATGCTGCCATGTTTAGTGACTAGAACCTCGCCTGTGACGGAAGTGGAGTTTGGGTTTTAAAAAAGAAAAAGTGGAGGTAGTCTGAATGTGGATGCTCAATAAACACACTCTATTTGTTTAGTTTAATCTGAAAGTTTTTCCTTGATGGGAGAAAATGTGCAGATTATGTGCCTGTGTGTGTGTGTGTGACTGTGTTTGTATGTCATGGGTAGCCTTGATCTATGCAGAGCTCTAATACATAGCCAAATTAATCTATCAGTCCACGGTTACACACACACATACACACCCACACACACAGACAGGTGGTGGAAATCCCCGTCACAGCAGCAGCCCTCTCTGGAGAGCAAACCCGGCCGGGTCCAATATCCTTTTGAAAGCCTTTTATCGAGCAGTTTACAAGTTATGAATGAATATGTTTTATTTGGGGAAACACGCTATTGACAGCCACCTATCAATAGTAATGTGACTATTGTCAAGGGTCTGTCAATATTAATGTAATTATGATGTAGAGGGATCAGAGGGATGCCGGAGTCGGGGGCCAAGTAACATCTCCTGCCCACTGCCATATCAATAGCTGGGATTGCTATTGACAGCTTCCCTTCAGACTTGCAGCACTTGCCAAATATATAACAAGCAGACACTTCAGTCAATGCCGGGCTGCCTATAAAAATTAAGCATTTGAATTTACAGCACTTTTACCGTGGACAGCTGGAAATCCATGTTCCTTATGTAATAGTCAAAAGTCAAAGTCAATGCCAGTGTTTACAGAGCACGGTGTGCGATACAAGCGGACTGACTCTTTCTCTGATGAATTCACTCAGACACACACCTGAAGTGATACATAGAATTTATACTTTTCGCGTGGGTCAGCCAACCAGAGACAAAATGCCCTCTTTGTGAAAGGAGTTCACAAAAATTGACAAAACATCTAGGGTCTTCATTTTTGGACCTTGCTTTTCTGTCAAAGCTGTATAAAACACTTTAAAAAAACATCTTCCTGCTTAAAAGTTATTTTTGATTCAGGTCAGATGAGAGGGTTTTGTCTCCCCTTGTTCCCTTAGCCCGTGCATCTTGTTCCGACAAAGATAGCACACTGACTCAAGGCTGACTGCCGTAGCTTACAGCCAACAGCAACAACAATATCCAATCTAACAGGGAACACACAGCAACACCGCCTCAAGGGGAAAGGGGGCTATGACCAGTGTGAGGAAGGAAAGGAGAGGAAACAAAAGCGTACGGAGCATCAGACGGAAGCTGCACAGCTGCACCGAGTGCTCTGGAAATTAGACAGCGAGCAGTAATGACAGCTAACAAAAAGATGGATAGATAAAGACAAATGCTTCAGGAAACCTCTTAGCTACTGTCCACTGATACATTGAAGGGAAACTGTGGGAAATGATAGCTAAGGAGAAAAAATTAGAGAGGGGAAAACAGATAAGCACAGACCTCTCCCCCTGAGCTGACCTTGAGACTGACGGTCACAATAAAGGAGGAGGGAACCTTCCTAAAGCACAGCCACGCTGAGGTGCATCCAGGGAATAGCCTATAGAAAGAGGAAGGATGCACTTTCTTCTTGACCTTGGCTTTGGTGTCTAGGGAGGGGATGAGGGTATTTAGGGCAGGGGACTAAAGACTGAGGGATGCTGGAAAGGTGGCGTATCTCTGGGGTCTTTTACTGCAGGGGACAAGGGCTCTGAAGCTGCTAACGAGGCTATCAGTCCATGCCATTCGGAAGCTATGCGTCCAAAAGTCTCAATTTAGCTGCTGGCGTGGTGCAGGGCTCAAATTCCTGAGCACTTAGCAATGGTTGTTAGCATAATATATTTGCTGAAATAATGCATACACGTTCTCTTGGCCTTCTATGATGCTTGTAGCGAGAAATAGGCTATGCATTGGCAAAGCATGCTGAATTACAACTTTACATTTTCTTCTCTCGCTCATGTAAATTAATTTGTGTAAAAGCTCTAGTGAATAAAACCTATTTCTCTGAGCACCCCGTGTCATTTTTTCCCCCTCGCTCCCTCACTTTATTGCCCTTCTTTCGCCAGGAACGAGAGCAGGCCTATTAGCCACGGCCTTCTAATGTCCTCACTATGAAAACGGATGAGAATGTCAGATTAAGAACTTTTAAGAGAATGATGTCATGCTGCAGACCACAGGCATTACGGGGACGCTAAGATTACCCAGGCGGTAACCAGACTAATTGTTATGAGTCTGTTTCATGAAAAATGAATGTGTGCAAATGCACAGAGGGGTCTTCAGGCTGTGTGTATGTGTGTGCGTTACACACTAATGCTTTATCAAGGCTCTCCCCTTTTTGTAATCACCCAAGACTACTCCGAGCCACGGGGTGAGGGCCAAGTTAATGCCTGAATGCAAAAAAATACACATCAGTTAGGATAGCACGTCTCACGTAGGAAAAAAAATGTTCTCTGCTTAATCTGGTTTGCTCCAGAGGTAAATTATTTAAGAGAATTAATTGATTTCATGAGTAGGAAGGTTGAGTATGCTAGGGCTGTATGAGTAATAAGTACAGGGGTTTGCGAAAAACAACTTAAAAAGTAATGAAACATTTAGAGGGCAGAGAGGCACAATGAACGTGGTACAAAAAGGGGAACAGCTAATAAATGAAAGAACTGAAGTTATGTCTTTCTTACTGAGAGAGCACTGTGGTCTCACCTCATGCAAATACAATGTGTTGTACTGAGGAATATTTGATCAGCACATCTCTTAGCTTGTGCTTTATGCATGAAAGCATTTTTCTGTTTTTTAATCTGTGCAACAATTAAAAAGTGAGTGAGAGTAGAACATTCGACATTTACCGTCCTGTTCAATCAATGAGAATGGGAAAGCCACTGCAGGCTCAACATGCTAATAAAGGCACAACACCATGCAGTCATAACACACTGTAGAGATGCTACTTTAAGGAATCCCTCATGTATATCTATGTTTCAATCACTTTTAGGAATTGGATTGCTGCCGTTGAAAATGCTACCCCCAAATGACATGCTATACTGTTACGTTTATTTCACTTTAAAGATGTGCCTTCTGGCAATGTACACAACTATGATAAAAACATACTGTGATACTAACAGACACTGAATATGATGTATATAATTTAGCAGGATTAATTGAGCATGCTGGAGGTTTAGAGAACATCTGTAACATCTGTATGAATTAGCAGAAATACAACTGTGTGCACTGTTGGTCAGAATTTTTTTTTTTAACAATGTACAATATAATTGTACTAAAACTATAAAGCTAATCCGTCAAGCGCACAGATAACCCCCTTGCCTTTATCACTTGACTTCATCTGGAAACTGTAGCCCATAAAATGACCTTATGCCCCCAGAGTGAGATCACAGCCTAATTTAACTTCAGTGACTCTCTTAAAAACACACTCATTACACTAAGTGACACACGTCTATACTCCAACCTCATGCAATCAGCAGCTCCACATTCCCCCTCATCAGGACATTGTCTTTTAATTTTTTAAGCCCATGCCCATCAGTCTTTAACAACAACAAAACCCAAATCTGCTCCATTTTGATAATAAGGCAAAAGCATTATGTGATAATCACAGTAGGGATTAGGTTTTGGCAGAGAGTGCAAGAGCAGTGCAGTCAAAGCCAGTGGAAAGGAGAGATATAGCCATGAGACAGATAAGGGTAGAGGAGTGATGATTGGGATGAGAGAAATGAAGAGCAGTCTCTTGAAAATCAATAAGATCAACTTTGCCTTGAATCTTAATGTGGAAGGTTTGGATCTCTAGCACTGATTATTTAGAGGAATAATGGAATTATGTGCAGAGCAGTAACATACTCTTGAAGGGAAACACACTCACAAGGTTACCATCTAAAGTTGCAGTTGTGTAAATAAACCTGGATGTGGCTCGCGATGAATAATAATGTCCTCGTTTGAAACGCATGCACTATAGCCTACACATTGACAGACATTGACAATCGATTTGATTTTTAATGAAAACATGCAGGCAAATGATACTCATAACGCGTCAAACATACAACACTGACAGCAGAAAGCAACACGCAGGGGATAATATTAAACGACGAGTCTTTACATCGTTTATAAAAGCAGATGTTCTGCATTTGAGCTTTCCGTAGAACTAACACGGTATTCAGGAATATCATCCAGACTTTAATGATCGTTAAGCAAAACAACAGAGCTGTATTTACCCATTTCTTTTGGCGAACTCAACTCAGTCCTCACTGATTAGACGAAAACAATGTGTATTTCCGGGTTGTGGATGTAAAACCCGCCCCTTAAAGGGAAACCACCAATCGTGTGGAGAGACGTCATGACTATGAAGCCAAAGGGTAAAAATGAGCCAATCAGATCACGCAGCGGCAAACTTTGGGAGGGAGTGTCAGTGTGAGTGGAAATAAGTCTGTTAAAAGTCCTCCGTTGTAGTAACGGCACGGCAGATAGCGACCAAGTTGTTGGTGAAGCCACGGTAATTAACATAAAACCACACATATAATGTCTTACATGCACTTGTTATGCAAGGCACATACTTGTTTCAGTTGGCGTCACAGTTGTCAGACAATGTAAACTATAAATATGTGAACAGTTTGAAGCAAGCGTGGCAAGCAGTCATTAAGAGTGTTAGCTAGTTAGCTTAAAAAGTGCGTGTACTGTAGTTGAGCCACGCTGAAAACTTTCACTACCATGAGCAAAAAGACAACTTCACCGGAGTCAGGCAAAAACGTAAAGCTTTTGGGACATGAAAGTGATAATTTGAACCTGCCACCTCCCCCAGAAGAGAAGCTGGAAGTTTCTATCTACGACTCAAACAACATTAAACAGCTTGTAAACGAGTTCAAGGGACTCCACGTGCAGAGATTGACATGTCTCGAGCTGGACACCACTTTAAACAAAGAGGAACGGCAGCAGGTGAGTAAATACCTCACAGATAGAACGTTTAAAACGTGTCTCATTGGTAGTGTGGCCGAGCGGTCTAAGGCGCTGGATTTAGGCTCCAGTCTCTTTGGAGGCGTGGGTTCGAATCCCACCACTGCCATTATTATCATTTAAGTTTCTCGTGATGACTGATATGCTCACTGTACGTCCGACATAAAACGTCTCCTTATCGACAACTAGTTATTGTACGTGTCTGTTTCCATCTAGATGAAGACACAATATTTTAAATGTCTCATAAGAAATCAACACATATTGACCCCATAGTGATATTCTGTCTTGAAGTGACAGTTAAGTCAAATTATTTACAAGGCAACCTCAGCAGTGTCCTAAGTTAACTTTCCAGGGTTTTGGACCCCAGATTTAATTTAAGTCAACAGCATACATTTCAAATAATTGAGGACCCCATTCAGACTCAAAGTATCTACAGGAAGTGTATTTTCTGCCTACATCTATTGTCATTAGGTTATCATCCATCCAATACAAATCAAAGCGCATCCTGTCCACCGTGACTTGGCCATCAGAAGATGACCTCTGTCCCGTCAGACAAATGACAGGAGGAAGCACAGGGGTGCTTTCATAAAGCCGCAGCACTTGTAACAGGTGGCAAATTGCATTATGTTTCCATCTGAGCGGCAGAGATCAGGAACACAGATCCACACTCATATTTAAAAAAGAGAGGTTTCTAATCATCAGGCTTGTCATGTGACATCATTTAGCGACAGAATGTAGCCTGTGTGAGCTGGGCTGTGCATCAAAGGAAGTGTAACAAGGTTTGGGAGATGGGTTTCGGTCAGCCGGCCCCAGTCTTAACAAGGTTACATGTTTAGAACCCAGGAGCTTCCAAGTCCTAAAGGTTGATATGGACAATTAATCACAAAGCTTGTCCATTGAAAACACAAAGCCCATTCATCCATGAACCCATTGTAGGTTTATGATGTTTCCTATTTTATTCGAACAACCTGCAAATTAAACAATTCATACAAAGTATTTTTTCTTACGCTATAAGGGTCGAAGCTGGCAGGCATAAGGAGTGTTAAGAAAGACATGTATAACGTTTGTAACAATATTTTTTGCCCACAGAAAAGGTTAAGCCAAACAGAACTTAACCCAGGCTATGCTCACTAAACTTTGACTAAATACAACTGAAAAGACTAAATTGGCCTAACGTTTTTTAAACAAAGTGTTAACTTAAAGGCAAAAACTACCAGCGAAACTATAAATAACATAGAACAGAAGGGTATGTTTCTCAGTATATACTGTTTTTTTCCAGCACCAGCAACCTCAGCACTGGTAACTTTAAGAAATAGAAAAATAGAATGTCTTAAGGCAAACTTATCTAAAGACAAACTAAGGTGTGTTACTCTCCCTGAAGCGAAACATCAGTGTTATATAACGCGTCAGGGGACGGTACAAAGATGCTTGTTGACTTCTTTGGCTTTAGGGGACAGACGTTTATGAACACAGATGTACGGGGCTCCTCTAAGGCAAAATAATTCTGAATTTAAGAAGCATTCCCTTTTTATTTTGTATGCGTATTAATGTTTTTACTGATATAAAAGACTGACCTAGAAGAATGCACTGAAAGCTAGTAAGTAAGTCTTAGGAAGAACAGTGGGCTTTTGTTTCTGACAGTTACCCATGCTGGAATAATTGTTGATGTCCAAATTAAGTTTTTATGCTCTTTAAAAAAAACCTGTGAGACTGACCGTTGAGCGGCCCGACTAAGCAAGGAGGCAGAGAGTTCAAATATAACATATAGCATTTATTCCTCATGGACACATGATTCACAGCCTCAATATTGCTGTCCACATGAACACAGTCAGCACCAACAAGGATCTCACACACACTACCAGGAAACACAGAGCCTAAATACACACAGACTAATCAACCAACAAGACACAGGTGAGGGGGGGGGACACACAGGGCACCAGGTGAACACAATCAGGAGTAACACACATGGGGAAAGGGAAACACTTTTCAAAATAAAACCACATGTGCAATAGTACAAGGCTCGAAGCCGTCAGTCCACAGTGACGAAGTTACGTTTGTCACAAAACCAAACAGGAGTTTTAGCTTGTCAGGGGTATGACTCAATAAAAACTGCTTAGTACTACTGTCAGCATGTTTAAACCCAGCAGATGAACCAACGTTTGATCCCTCTGTGCTGTTGTTCTTGCAGAAGAAAGTGAATTTCCTGTGGTCTTATGCGAATGACCTCGTAGAGCAGAACCAGGTGCTGGTCGAGACCGTTGAGGATCTGCAGATGGAAGCTGACAACAAGGTTTCCTGTCGGGGAATGAAGCTCCACGCCTCAGATCCCATCCTGAACGTAAGGTGTTATACATTTTTTTATAGCAATTTGGTTCAATTAAGTAGTTCACCTAGAAAGAGTATTTTCATTTTCTTTGATATTTCTGTTTTACAGTCTTGTTATGCTATTCATTTCCTTTGTCTTTAAGAGATCTATCTGAATGGATTACACGCAGGGTAACTTGGATAAAAAGTGCTTCAAAGTATACTGTACATATTACCATTCTTTTACTTTTTGGGTATGCGTTTCTCTAAGAATATAGTAACATCTTCATGTATTGGGACCAAATATATCTCCTGAAGACAAATATTCATCAATGAAATAAAACCATAAAAAGACTACAACCTTATAGTGTTGCACGGTGTACCGATACTTGAAAGGTACCGCGATACCCTGACGTTAAAAACGTTACGATTCCTCCGTTTCATTAGTATCGGTACTTTAAGAATGACGGGGAAAAGTACTCCTGTGAGAAAGCGCCGTTACGTGTGTGTTCAACGCTCTGCTTCCACTCCCTGCACTGCAGCCGTGCCTGCAGTCCCTCCCCTCTCAAGCACGCTCTAAGTCCCTCCCCTCTCTCGTGCACGCGCTAGCTGCCAGAGCATGTGAGAAAACGAGAAGCATGGCTGCAAGTGGGAGTGCAACTGCCGCTGCGCCTCGGCTTGTTGACAACAAAGGCGCCAGAAGTGACATTTGGAAGTATTTTAGCAGGGCTGCCAACACTCACGCATTGAGCGTGAGAGTCACGCACTCACGCCACACTTGCCTTTCCTCACGCTAAGTTTTCGTCCAAAATAAATGTATATAAAGTGAAGGAACAGCAAACCGAGCAGTCTACGAAATGAGACGGTCTTCTGGCTTGGTTCAGTAAAGTTGGAACGATATTGGGAGATTCTGATTTCACGGATCAATAACTCATGAACAAAACGTTATTCAGACACAGATGACGTCTCCTAAGTACCGTGGTAAGGTTGACAACGAACTACAATCACATTTGATCAAAAAAAGCCAATACGCGCCATCCTCCGAGCTGGACACATTACATTGGTCTCTATCCGCTGCCGGAGAAGAAACGAGTGCTCAGGGACCGTCTGCAAAGTGCAACTCCCAAAAAAGAGAATACAATAATATTCAATCACTATTATACAGCTTATTACTACCAAACTCACTACATACATAATAGTCTCCTGGTGGTCATACTACAGCAGAGAGTTTGGAAGAATATGCTTTTGAATAATTTTGGGGAATATTTATAATGTAACATCTTCAATAACTATGGCATCATCTTAAATAACTTTACTATTATACAATATATTTCTACCAAACTCACTATTTGCATTGTTAGCATCTGGTTAGTGAATTAATGGGAAACCCTAGTTTGTACATGTTCAATACATTTGTAACACTGTACACATGAACGTTTCTTTTTTCGGTTCACCAAAAAAGAAATCTCACTCCAAGCTGAACTCAAATGTTGGCAGCCCTGATTTTAGCTATATCTCTGACAGTGAGGTTATGTTCTATTTTTTGTCGGAGACCTCATTGTGTTGAATGTCATTTATTTAGTTTAATATACAAATCTATTTTGACAAAAAAGAATCGGAATCGCAATTCTTGACTTGGTATCGAAACCAAAATATTGGTATCGTGACAACACTACAACCTTAACATTTTTTAAATCTAATCCAATCTCTACACCCTGATAATACAGAGACTCCTCTTGAGTGTGCATATATGAATAAAGAGCACAATAACTTTAAAGTAAAAGAAAGTAGAAACCTTTGAAAGTTTAACAGGAATTTATTTGCAAACCCAACTTTTATCCTTGGGATTTTATACAAATAAAGGTCAGGTATTTGGTAATAAGTGAAGCAGCGTATGTCAAAAGGAGGACATTCCTAATCATAAACAACATCTAAATACAAATACCAAAATGCATAAGCACGTCAGAATTAACACAAAAGAGAGAAAACGACAAAGCAAGTTTAAAACGGAATAACAGCTCATGGCTTTCTTTGCTATGCTGCTGTATCTGCCTCCAAGAACATTTCTTTGTGTGCGCTTCTCGAGGCCAAGGCATCTTTGACTTTAGAGAATTCAATCAGCGGAGATCAGACCCTGACTGTGGTTAACAGTTAAGACCATGAGAATCCCTCATTGTTTACACAGAACAATATCAGTGTGCAGAATATTGGCAATGTAGAAAAGCATTAAGGACGAGCCTGGAGCCGCCCGCGCAACAGTTTCTGTTTTTAATGACTCGCGCAGTTGTGTTATTTGACTGCATGTAAGCTGAAAAAAGTCCTCTCTTATTATTTCTTAAGTCTGTGGCCATTTTCTGGAGGAAACCACACATTATTATTCATTCTAAGAAGAGTGGAGGTGGGAAGCTGAGTGCAGAAATGCTTTACCAAATGTATTCTTTTGTCCAAAGCAGGACTGTATGGACATCACCACTTGATGTAGTGGCCGTAAGGTATTGTTATAGTTAGGCCCAGGCTTCATTCAATATTCCCCCTTCTGAGTGAATTTTGCACACAGAAAAATAATTATGGCCTTTTATCCATCAAAGTACTTATCTGCTTTATGGAGAAGGTCAGAGGGCTTGCTTTGTGTGCTCTCTGCGCCGGTCTCAAAGGCTCAGGTAACATAATGCTTTGCACTTCTCAACTCAAAGCTGTCCATTTTAGCGTTCTGAAATTGTGTTTTCCTCAATGACAAATTGCTTAATCAAAACGGAAAATAAATCCTTGGTTTCTCTTCCATAGTGTTTTCTTAGATGCCTTTACTTAATAGTGTGTACAATATTTTCCTGCAAACTATATCACAATACATGCGTAACGAATGGTAAGAATAACCAAGACCTTTAAGAGTTTTCACATGTTCACTGTAATTGAATTGTAGGCACTTTATTTAGCTCTTTGGCAGAAGAAAATACAGCTAAAGAGTAATAGGTGAGAAAAATGTGGAAATTGATCAAATGAAATTCTTTCAGCTGACTCCTTTTGTTCATTCAGTTGCACAAGTTAGTTTAGCCGCCAAAAGACACAGTGTGAGGGAAGTGTTGCCGTGCTATCGACCCTGGTTCGGCTTTTGAATCTCCATTTTCACCCGTCTTAAAACGATGCTCTCACTGTCTGTTTCGGTTACTTTGTATGTTTTCAGGGTCTGGATTGGTAAACAAATACAAATAAATGGACTCCTTCACTCAACAGTCTATTAGGATAGCCAGGGGACAACAGTGTGTTTCTGCTCTGATGTCCATAATGTGAAATCCAATCAAATGAAGAGCATTTAGAGCTACTTATGGAACGTTCCACCATGTAAACGATGCAATGAGCTCTGTAATAGGAGCTTAGCTAACGTCTGATTGAATCGTAGTGTATGGTCTTGTTGATGCACAATAGGGTTGAACTGTAATGGACACTAAACAGAGTTTGTTTTGTGGTCATAATATCATGAAATCCAAGGCTTGTGTTCTCTGTTCTAGACTGCTGCAATTAGCCTGTTGACTATATGTCATCCATCCAAGGACATATGTAGCATCATCATGTTCCCTGCATACTTTATAACCCTGAATTAAATAGTACTTAGAATTATACGGAATATCTATGTTAACCTGTGGTTACAGGAAATGCTTTCAGTACGCATAAGTTCAGTTCAATATTGAAGTCATAGGAACAAAAGTTATGACTCTACTGTCCTTACCTGATGAACCCCACCAGCTTCTCCCTGGTCAAACTTTCTTTAGTCATTCTATGCCAAAGTCATTGCAGTGAACTTCAATTCATCCTGTCATGTTTCATTGACGCAGGTATTTAAGGATTATTAAAAATCATAGAAAGTTGTTCCAGTTGCAGATAGACTCTAAAACAGCACTCAGAGTATATGTACTCGTGTTAGGAAGTAGACTCCCAGTCCTTGCGGTGCTCTTTCCAGTATCACTTTCCATAGCTGGCAGATTTTCCAGCCAATTAAAAATGATGGAATAACTTTCTTTGTCTCATTTGGTTACAATAAAAAGCATTATTATGAGTGCTGAGGAGTTTCTCAAAGAAATGTCCTTTAGTCCTCTGGTTTATACTCTTGTTGGTCATTTTGGCATCTTAAGGATTAGTAATAATATAATACAATAAAATTGGCACTTCCATTGAACTCTATAGTGATGTTTTTTCCACTTGCGTTCTTCCAGAGAGGTCAAAGTCACAAGAGCAGCTACAGAACAACTTAGTGGCAAGGATTCAGTATCGTGCTTGAGGACACTTTTGTTGGCCAGATTGTGGGTTTCAATGAGTGGGAAGATGAATAAAGCACCCTCGTTTTGAGACATATAAAATAGGGTAATGTTAATAACATGGCTCAGTCGGTAGTTGTAGGTTTAACTCTTTAGTCCAGAGCTTTCTGTTATCATTTGGTCCTTTTTAAGTCTTTGGTAAGGTATGTTTTTTACATCCGTTACAGTATCCAGGCTTTTTTGCACATTTTGTTTGTGTGTGTGCACATTATGTGCAGTCTGTGTGTCTATTGGGTAGATTTCTTAATTCCCAGAGTTTAGCCTCTGGCCTGCGGGGCAGTGTGGGGGACTGTGGAGGCCTGAGGGGGATCAGTGTAGATCAAAACAGATCAGTAGGGATCATTTGGGATCACTGGCCTTGTCTTTGATCTACTCATCCTGCCATTTCACCATTCCCACACAATTCTCAAATGATTACCATACCAGGAATATTCAAACATGTTAGTAAACACATTTTTCAGACTGGAGACGTGTGCTTCTTGCAAATCACATTTTCGATGCTTGTTAGCTCTTCTTCTTTATAAAAAACAGGGCTAACAACTTAAACCTAATTTATTTTGTCTTATTTGTATCCGAGGAGAAGCAAATGGCTTATAACAAGTGTCGACTATAAATTTGCCAACTGAAAGTCGGGAAAGTCTCCAGCTGTGATGATAGTCTCCAATTTTTGGTGCGATTCACAAAGTGACTATTTATGACATTGCCCATAAACCACAGAACAGGG